AGCAGGAACTCCAAGTTTTTCCTGGTTAACAAAGGCTCATCGGTGGGCAACTGCTGAGACTCTTCCATGGCCTCCGTGGGGTCTGCTTCCTCCATAGCTGTGAACCTCAGATCTGACAGCAGATTACCTAACAACACTGTCCGTCTGTGTGCTGGAAACAGTGCTCCTGACCTGCTCCCACTAGGTGGTGAGTGAGGGTCTGGGAGGCATGGCAATCCCTTAGAACAGGGACGGGCCAGCTCTGGGTGTGGACACAGTCTGGCCCTCTGCCTGGTTTTGTAAGTCAAGTTTCACTGGTATACACCCGTGCCCCTGGGTGCGGGTACTGTCTGCGGCTGCTTTCGGCTGCACGGTCAGAGCTGAGTAGTTGCCACGGAGGCTGTGGCCCACAGAGCTGAACATAGTTGCCATTGAGCCTTTCTAAAAGTTGGCTAACCTGTTTCCGTGGGACTATTCTGATAACAATAAGAGGATGGATTGGAAGGGACAAGTTCAATTTTTGGTACATTAACTTTTCCGACTTTCGACTTTGGGCTTCAAGGATCAACCCCTTTAGCTTCCATGATTATACTTAATTCTAATTCTACAAGGAAGACCGATCAACCCTAGCTCATATAACAGTAGTGGACAGAACTAGAAGTGGTCAGGCCTGGGTTTCCTGGGTGGGAGCTCAGTCTGGTTTCTGCCACACGCAGCCCACCGTCCCTGCCTCGTGGGGGCACGAGCTCAGGGTGGAAACGGAATCTGCTGCAGACAGGCAGGCCCTCCTCCAAGGCCACCCATCGTCACCCCTGTCCTCTGTGTTCTCGGGGTTGCTCGGTGGACATCAGCGTTCCTGGACCTACCTCCAAGTTAGTGGTGCCAGTGCCCTCAGGTCACTGAGGGGACCTGTCACAGAACCGAAGGACTAAGGCTTCGGATGGATGAAGGTCTGCAGGATCGTGAAAGGAGATGGGGAAGGAGCAGAACGTGAAGAAGTTGCTCACCGTTTGAGGCTTTACCATTGGCCTTGAAATGCGTGGCTGAGCTTGGAGTTGAGAAAGCTCTCACTTGCAGGGGCAGGTGGGTCAACCCTTTTCTTACCCGAATCATTGACCATGAGTTTTTGACTCATTTCTATTTGTGAGCTCAACTCACTGTCTCGTCATTTTCCTTAGGTAAATGTTTTAAATGGAGAAGGGTAGACATAAGAGAAATGTTTTTATTTCCTTTAAAATGGCTATTTTCTGAAAGAATTGGTGATGAAAGACTGTAGTTTTCCTTGATGTGATTTTTAAAATTTTAATATATTTTATTGATTATGCTATTACAGTTGTCCCACTCCCCCTCCTTATTCCCCTCCACCCTGCACACCCCCTCCCACCCATATTCCCACCCCTTTAGTTCATGTCCATGGGTCATACATATAAGTTCTTTAGCTTCTACATTTCCCATACTATTCTTACCCTCCCCCTGTCTATTTTCTACCTACCATCTATACTACTTATTCTCTGTACCTTTTCCTCCTCTCTTCCCCTCCCACTCCCCTGTTGCTAACCTTCCTTGTGATCTCCATTTCTGTGGTTCTGTTCCTGTTCTAGTTGTTTGCTTAGTTTGTTTTTGTTTTAGGTGTGGTTGTTAATAACTGAGTTTGCTGTCATGTTACTGTTCATATTTCTTATCTTCTTTTTCTTAGATAAATCCGTTTAACATTTCATATAATAAGGGCTTGGTACTGATGAACTGCTTTAACTTGACTTATCTTAGAAGCACTTTCTGTGCTCTTCCATTCTAAATGAAATCTTTGCTGGATAGAGCAATCTGGGATGTAGGTCCTTGCCTTTCCTGACTTGCCTTAGGTGTTCACCAGGGTGGGGCAACCCAGTCACTGGGTTGTGACACCGTACGTGCAGGGTGGGGCGGGGGCGGGGCAAGTCTGAGCGGGAATAGTGGTGTTGGTTCTGCTCTCTGCTGGATTTCAGTCGCTTCCCACAAGCAAACTGGACCCTTCTGGTGCTGATTCCCGGGTGGGTGGGCTTGTGTATATTCTAGGACCCTGTGGGTCTCTGCAATGAACTCTCCTGTGAGGCTGGGAGTGTCTCCCGCTGCTGCCTCAACCCCCACAGGGTTTTCAGTCAGTGGTTTGAGGCTTTGTTTCCCCACTCTGGGGCCTCGGGTTGCCTGGTCTGTCTCGCTTCCCAGGTGTTCCTCCGGGTTTATCCACACACGAATGTGCTACTGCCCACTCCACAAGCAGCTGCCTTGCAGGTCTCCACCACCGCCTTGGTGCGAGTCCTCTCCACCTGGCTGCCCGTCTTCGCCCCTCCTACTGGTCTGGAAGAATATTTCTTCTTTAACTCCTTGGTTGTCGGGCTTCCATACAGTTCAATTTTCTGTCAGATCTGGTTGTTTTTTGTTTTTAAATTGTTGTTGCCCTACTTTTGGTTGTACGAGGAGGCACAGTGTGTCTACCTATGCCTCCATCTTGGCCAGAAGTCTGATTTTTTTTAAAACTCTTCTTTTTTTTTAAAAGATTTTATTTATTTATTTTTAGAGAGGGAAGGGAGGGAGGGAGAGGGAGAGAGAGAGAGAGAGAAACATCAATGTGCGGTTGCTGGGGGTTATGGCTTGCAACCAAGGCATGTACTCTGGCTGGGAATCGAACCTGGGACACTTTGGTTCCCAGCCCGCGCTCAATCCACTGAGCTATGCCAGCCAGGGCAGAAGTCTGATTTTTTAAAAAATTATTGTATTGTTCAATTACAGTTGTCTGCATTTTTCCCCACACCCCCTCCAAACCCACCTCCCTCCCTTGCTTCCACCCTCCCCCTTGGTTTTGTCCACGTGTCCTTTATAGTAGTAGTTCCTGAAAACCCTCCTCCCCACTGTCCCCTCTCCTTGATGTGATTTCACCAGCACAGGGTTTTCAGTAGTCCTGGGCCTTCTGGTGGAGCATACAGGTTTTCTGTTGGTTTCTTCTACTTCATGAGGTATTACATCATTTTTTCCCCTCAAAATTACACTTGGAGAAATTTTGAGACATAGATAAGCCCGGTGTCATTAATTTTAAATAAAATCTTGGGTGTTTAAAAACATTATTTACATTAAAATGGTAAAATGTTTGGCTGTTTTTGGGGGGGAATGTTAAAAAATCCAATCTCGGCTTTTAGCGTCTTTTTACCTGTGTTTCCGGAATTTCACAAGTGTGGCCTCATCACATGACCTGGAGCTGTTTTGCCTTATTCAGTTAATGGACCCTCCGTTGAGCTGGGGTTGTTGGGGTGCAGGCATGAGCTTGGGATCAGAGGTCACAGCCGGGTGACGGTTTGACTCTCTGCTCTGCTGCCGCCGGGCTGTGTGGCAGGGCACTTCCTGGGCCCTGATGGGACCGGCTCCAAACGGAAGGAACTGGACCAGACCCAGAGTTTTCCTGGGGGCAGGGCTCTATGAGGAGGTTGCGTGTGTGTCAGTGTTGATCAAGATATTGGGTGTGAGGAACATGTGTCATTTGTGAATGCACAGTACTGTGTTTCTTCATTTAAAAAATGAAAAAAGCCTTATTTTAACAAGTGACATAGTATGCAGCATGATACGATCACGGCTGGTTCACACACGATGGGAAGCACGCGGACCACCATTAGTGGTGAATGTGTGTTTATGTTATATTTAGTGAGTGCTGTGCACCAGGTCCTATTTTTACATAACGAGATACTTTCATTCGAACCTCACAAAACCCTAGAAGATCTGCACTGTCATCACTTGAGCTGACAGAGCAGGAAGGTGAAGTTCTGGCTCAAGGTCATCACAGCTGTGTGTGGGTAGACCTGAGGTGCAAACCAAGCCGAGCCTGCAACGTTAGACGCTAGGTTTGCCACCTCCGCCTTCATAGTCTTCTTTGAATCAAAGTCAATTTTATCTGTATTTTACCTTCTGAAAAAAAAGTTTTACAGTATGTGTAACTGGTATGAAGGCTCCCCTCAATCCTCAGGTTAACCCCCCACTCCCACATTTGACTCTAAATGCAATTAAGTTTGCTCCGGAGTTCTACTTTGCAGAGACTGATGAGTTGTTCAGCATCAGTAGCCCCGGGGGGAGCCCTGGCCAGTGTGGCCCAGTTGGTTGGAACATCATCCCATAACTGAAAGGCTGTGGGTTCGGTCCCAGTCAGGGCACACGCCCAGGCTGCAGGCTCGTTCCCTGGTGGGGGCGTGTACAGGAGGCAAGCAGTCAATCGATGTTTCTGACTCTCAACCATCTCTCTCTCTCAAAGCAATGAAAACATGTCCTCGGGTGAGGAAAAAAAAGTCACCGGGGGATTCTTTCCCCACCCTCCATGCCCGGCTGGGCCGCCATGACCTCCCCGGGGCTCCTGAGGCTAAGAGTTTCAGGGGTTGTCCCTCAGTCCAGGCATCCCCGAGTCCCATCTCGCCAGAGCCCGGTTCGCCCTCCCCTCCAGGGACTCCACGTAGACACAGGGCTGGTGCAGATGCAGACACAGGGAAGAGAAGTCTGCCTTTTATTCTTTCATCAGAATCTTATAGGGAAATAGTTAACGTCTCTCTCAAATTATCCTCTTGCCTCCAAACGGCAGCGAGAGTTAACACAACTTGAAGCGATTTTCCTAGTGTCCAGTTTACGTTTCCCGTGTTAAGCGAGGGCGTATGGGTGGCTGAACTGAGTGGCCTCGGCTCATCACGCACACCACCTGTGTGACTGGATTGAATTCTTGAACTCTGCTTTATTTTTATAAAATGGGGATAATAATAGTTTCCAGTCCACAGAGGTCCTGGGAGATCAGCTTGAACAAAGCTGATCTGGAGAATGGCAACAACCACCCAAGCTGGAGGGGAGCAGCATGCGGTGGGGGCTTGGGGGAGAGGCTGGGAGTGCTGCTGAGTCCCACTGTGCAGAGGCTGGACCCCCATCGGCCTTCTTTGAGTTGGTTTATTAACTGGAGTTTGTGCTCTGCCTCAGACATGCACTGGAATCTTTCTGATAAACTCCTCTTTTGGCCTATTTAGGACCGGACTGACTTTGAGTGGAGCTTCTGGATGGAGTGGGGGAAGCAGCGGCTGGTGTGGCTTCTCCTTGGCCACCTGGCTGTGTCGCAAATGGCCAACCAGATTGCGAGGAAGGTACGACTGTGCGCAGCACTTCCTTTCAAGCCTCTTTCTCCTTTGCTTCTTGTGAAGATAGAGCCCTGAGCTAAGAGTCAGTAGACATGGATGCCAGCCTTGGAAGCCTGGAAAAGATGAGAACAAATTGTTAATGATAGATCAGACACTCACAACACAGAATTAACACATTCTTATCCTGCACTTACTTCCTCCAAGTTATTTTTCAAAGCAATGAATATAAAGGATTGGAGGTAAAGCCACAGTTATGCGCATGGGTAAATTTGTGGGTTACAGCACTGAGCTAATAGGTAAGTTGCAGAGCAGCCTCTCAGATATGGTCCCATGTGCTTAAAGCTCAGAGGTGAGCAAACTAAAGTCACACTTGCAAATTTACGAAGAAAGAGATCATGATAGAAAATAAGTACAAACTTCAGGACGGTGGTGACGCTGGCTGGGAAGGGACATGGGTGGGCTCCGGGCGGCCTCCCAGGGCCCTCTGGGCACTGAGAGTCTTGCCTTTCTTCAGCTGCTGGTGGGTGTGCCGGTGGTGTTTCATTTTCCTTTGCACACCGGCAAAGTTAATAAATATTCCTTTCTCTGTGCTTGATGTTCGATATGTTTCTGATTGATCCTGGGGAGGAATGAAGTGGCAGGTAGAAGGAATGGCGAGGTTGCCCTGGGCCTCTGCGTGTCCTGCGCTCCCCACACCCCTGTCCTGTGCATCCAGCCGGCGTGGCCCTGCCTGGTGGGTCTGCTTTGCCCCCCTCTTGCTCTTGCTACCTCTTGTTCGCCTCTCAAAGGTCAGTCTTTCTCTAGCTTTCTTCATTATTGTCCCCCACCCCCTGGCTACACTTTTCAGGTATTTTTTCCTAATTGCCACTTTTAGAGAGAGGGGAAGGGAGGGAGAGAGAGGGGGAGAGAAACATTGATGTGGGAGAGAAACATGCATAGGTTGCCTCTTCGACGCGCCCCCACCAGGGATGTACCGGCACTGCAGGCACGTGCCCGGACCAGATGGAATCTGTGGTCTTCCGGCTTTAGGGACACTGCTCCAGGCAACGGAGCCACACCCTCCAGGGCACTATTGAAATTTTAACCACAGACATACTGAGAAGCTGTTTGTGTACTGTATGCATGCCTGTGCTTTATGCTTTTTCTTGTCTCCAAGAGCCGATCCCCCTCTGTTGGAGGAGATATAACACCCATCGGGAATGTGGAATGTAGATGAACTCTTCTTGGCTTGATGCTCCTCCCCCTTTCTAAACTTCTGCAATTTTCAGCTCCTCTTTTGTACTCACTACCATCAGAAGGCTGCCTAGGTTAGAGTATAGATGTCCTTCCACTTAATTTGCTTGCAATTTTGAGTTAAGGCTCTTTCCATCTTGGGAGGCAGTGTTCGGAGTGGCTGAATCCCAGCTTTGGGGGTGTAAGCTACGCAGTCTTAAGTTAGTGGCTGATGTCTGTGGGTTCCTTTCCTCGTTTGTGCAATGGGGGTGGCAGCACTTGCTTCTTGGGGTAGCGCTGAGGGTCTGATATTTTTTAAGGTTCTGCTTGCACGTGATAAATGCCAAGTAAGTGCTGGCATCTGCTGGCGTCCGCTGGCGTTTGGCGTGTGCTGCGTGTGCTCCTGGGAGCCGTCTCCTCCACGGTGTTCCAGCAAGGAGGCAGCTATCTCGAGACACCGAAGTCTGCAGGGGCGGAGGCTGTCTGTGCAGGCACACCACCATTCCCCTCCCGACTGTCTTCCTCTGACCCTATTTCCAGTGTCCGCTGGGTCCTGGGGGAAGGGATTGGGAGACACGGCCCCTTCTTTGGAAAGTTGAGTGAGAAGTTACGGTACAGAGGAGACCAAACTCTGATCTCAGTGCTGGACCTGATGTGGTGGTGGGCTGGGTGCCTGGGGGGAGGAGTGGGCCACATCTGCCTCGGGGTGACAGGGAAGGCTTCTGAGGATGTGGCTTTGAGCTGTGGCTTGAAGGAAGTAGAGCTGTTTGCTTAGTTCAGGTTTGCATCTCATTACCAGGCACGGCGGATAGGCGGACTCGTCTTTTTGTCTGCGGGGCACATCTTACCCCAAGCCGGTGGGAGGTGTCTGTGTGTTTTCTGGGAGTGAGGCAGAGTTCACAGAGTCATCTTTGTGTGTGTGTGTGTGTGTGTGTGTGTGTGTGCCTCTCTCCTGTCCCCTCTGCGACCACAGGTCTGATTTGTGCGACAGCTGTGAGCGGGGCTCTGGCTGGGGCTGGGGCACAGTGCTTGCCTTGTCTGCGTCTGCTGGGCCCTTATGTAATGAGTAGGAACCACAGCTTTGGCCCCGTTAGCTCCGTGCTGTCACCACCTGGACTGAGTGTTCCAGATGGCCTGAATTCGGGTGGGTGTTTTGGACCTTACTCAGGGTGGAAGATTTGGGCTGCAGTTCCTGTATTTCTCCACCCTTGGAGGCATCGGGAACTGTGGACAGTGCCGTGCAGGGCCGGGCGTCAGCAGTTCTCGGTGATACAGCCCTTAACCCCGAAGGGTCTTCCCCCTCCGTCTGGTCTCTCACCCCATCTCTCCCTTCGTGAGCCCTGCCTCCTTCCAGAGACAGGCAGGGTAGTTTCCAAAGGGTGGTTTTCTTCCTTTTTCTTTTCCTTTTCCTCTTTTGCCATGACAAGTAATAAAACTTTCCACTGAGCTCCTTGGCCGAGGTTAGGTGCCTTTCCTCTGGGCAGGGCTCTCCGGGTTTGGTGAGACTGAGCTGGGGCCGGTGCCCTGGGAGGGGAGGCTGAGTGCCCGGGCTCGGACTGCGGGTCTGCTGTGCTTGGACTGTGCACCTCAGGGGCGGGTCAGGCCGCTGCCCCCTCTTGGACGCCCCGTGGCCTCACCACCACCTGAGACATTGTGTTCTCTGCCCTCAGAACCAAAAATAACCCCGCACGAACGTTTTAAGAAGGCTGGCCTGGTTTGCGGGGGCCGAGGGTGGGTGCTGTTGCCGCCCTCAGGGCAGTTTCCGCTGCCCTTCTCACAGGCAGAACCCACGTCATTAGCATCTGGGCCCGACCGGCGGAGCTCATCAGCCACAGGACCGAAAAGCACGTTGGCTGAGATGAGTAAACTAACCTCTGGAGGACCGCGGTGGGCAGGCGCTCCCTGCCAGCCCGTTCCCGAAACCGCACACCTAATGGGAATCTCAGGCACTAATGGCTTTCCTGGAACCGGACTCCGCCGCCTCCGCCTCCACCAGCGCACGTCCAGGGAGGGATGAAGTCTGCTCTGTGGGGGCCCGCCAGCCTGTGCTCCCGGGAGAAGCAGGCCAGAATGGAGGTGCCTGGACTCGGGGCTGGTTTTGTTTTACCCCTGTTTGTTCGGGGAGATGTATCGACATATTTTTTTTGGCAGCGGCTGCCCTCGATTGTGTAGTATGTAATAAGTTATGCCACGTAGAAGGATTATTGATCGGCTCCTTTTATTTGCTTCTCGAACAACGCTCCCCCAAGTGCTCTCTGGGCAGATGTACAGAAAGCACTAATCGCAGCGAAGTCTGGTGCAGTTGCCAACAGGAGTCTGCACCGAGGCTCCACATTCTCGCTCCTCCCTACAGAGACAAGATAATGAGGGAAGCCACTCAGGCGCATCCTATTATCAGTCTGTGCGCACAGCCCAGAAAAGCAGGAGTGTAAGTAGCGCTGGTGTGAGAGGGGTTGCTGCCAGCCAGCGCTTCCTGTGGCTGGGCCCTGCCTCCCTGTGGAGAGGCTCTGAAGAATATAGATTTACAAGAGAAAGGAGGGCCGGCCCTCGGTCTGTTCTCAGCGGTGCTGACTTCAGCCTTGGATATGTGCCAGCTCATTGGGTCTGTCCCCCGGAAGACTTCCGTGGGGTGACAGGCAGCAGGCTCCGTCACCAAGGTCTGCTTTCATAGCCCGGTGCCTGCGCCCTACTAGGTGCAAACTATTTGAGGTCCTCCCAACATAAAAGACCCCCCGTGAGCGGAGAACACACAGCAGACAGTGAGAGGTGACGTGCGTGTTCCACAGGCACTGGCAAAGCAGCCTGCGTTTACGAGGGGTGCAGTGGTGCAAGCAGAGACTCTGGAAACAGCAGGATGTCACAGCAGTGGACCAGAAAGCCCAAAACTGTGGCGCTAATTTCTTGTTATTTCTTATTCATAACTACCAGGTTAAATCCCAAGACTTGGGGAAGCATATCCATCTATCTGTCCATCCACACATCGACCCACCCACCCCGCCCATCATCCACCCACCTACCCCCCCACCCAGTGTTACCTACCCACCCACCCAGTATTTATGAAACACCTGCTGTATGTTTGGTACTGTGTTGGCTTCTGGGTTTACACTATTAGAATGTGAACAAGACAGGACTGGCCTTCTAAGGGAGGTCAGCAAGTGGAGAGGCAGAACCCCTTCCCCCTTTGAGGAGTGAATCCTGTGTAAACGCAGGCAGCAGGGGCACGGAGAGCGAGGTTGTCTCCCTCCTTCAGTCCGGGGTAGAAGGCACCGCGTCCCATCAGAAAGGCCCGTGTATTCTTGGCTGGCTTTGTCTTACTGCCACAGAAATTTGTTAATACGTTGCTCTTCTTTCCTGCCTTCTTTTTATCTTCTGTTAGAAACTGGAGAGCCTGGAACAGAGCCAGTCAGGGGGGTTGGGATAGTTCTGATGAACTTTGAACCCAGCGAATTTCAACCTGCCTTATTTTCAAGCTTCAGGTTGCTCACACTTTGTTGTCCTTTGAAAGAGCATCTCGAATGCAAATGAAAGCCCCAGCGAGGGACCCCTGCACGCCTGCCAGAATGGCTCCGCTGTAGCCTAGCGACAACACCCCATGCCGGTGAGGGCGCCCACACGGTGGATCACTCATCTGTTGCTGGTGGGAATGTGAGATGGCCACTCTGGAAGGTTGTGTGGCGTTTCTGGGAGCACGGACCATGCAACTGCCATGCAACCCTGCGAGTCCATGCCTGGGTGTTTATCCCAGAGAAGTGAGCACTCGTTTTCACACAAATGCAGATGTTCATATTGGTTTTGTCTGTAACAACTACAAACTGGAAATAGCCCAGATGTCCCTCGGCGGGCGGATGGTTAAACAGGCAGTGGTACGTCCATGCCGTGGAATGCTACACAGCATACGGGGAGCAAAACTTTGATACCCGCAGCAACTTGGATGAATCTCCAGGGAATTGTGCTGAGGGGACAGCTAGTCCCAAATGTGACATACTGTTTAAGTTTCTGAATGGGGGATGGAAGGCTACTCATGCTATATCAGCATTTTAGTGGAGTTTTGAGGATGGGATTTGAATCGCATTTTTATAGACAAAGAATGAAAAGCAGTACTGTACAGGTGTTTCTTCTGCGTTGCTCACACCTTTCCTTTTTGCCACCTATTCACACCGAGTTGCCTTTACCCCCTGAGGAGAAGGAGCGGGTGATCCAAGGGTTGGTAGAGGATGTGATGTGAATGCGAGAGCATTTTCTGTGAGGTCGTAGAGTGACGTCAGGTGTTGTCCGTCTGTGCTGTTTGGCAGGAGGAAGGCGGTGGGGGGTGAGAAGGTGGGGCCAGCTCGTGTGCCCCCAGGGCAGCTTGTGTGAGCACAGTGAGGTTCATCAGGGCGTCTCACAAGCAGGTTTGCACAGCACTATTGAGTATTTCCTGAAGGTCTGAACAGCTTTTCCAAGTTGAAGCAGCTTAAGTCTGTGGTTAAATTTTGAAACGAATCCCAGAAAACAGGCTTTTTCCAAATGGATCAAATAGCACTTAATAAAAATGTAGCCAGCCATGTATATGTATAAGCATGTAGCATGAGAAAGAATTCCAAGTGGTAAATGCTGTAGGTCATGGTGGAAAAGAACCCCCTTTTTTTTTTTCATTTGTTGTAACTACTTCTTAAAATAGTCTTGGGCGACCTTGTTCCGTATACTCGCACTCTGCCCAGAGGTGAGTGTTTGGGGGAAAGTCTGAGGCAAATTTATGTGGCCGTTTTCTGTGGGTAATAGGATGGAAAAATAGTAAAAATGAGCTGCAGATTTCTTTGATTTTGTTGGAACTTGAGAGTGCCTGACGTAGTCACTCATTTCGAATGTTTTCTCTTGAGCGGGAGCCGTAGGTGTGGGGAAAATTGCACTCCAGCAATAACTTGGGAGGGTTAGCATCTAAGCATGGGATTTGCAATTTTCAGCCCACAGCTGACTAGCCCTTAAAGAAGTCCTTGTTTTTACAAGAAGACATTCCTAGAAACCACACTTTTAGTGCACACTGAACAGACACATCATAGTTTCCTATAGAAATAACAGCTAGTATTTCTGCTGTATGTACTATGTATGCAGACACCACTGTAAGCGTTTTACATGCATTTACTTACTAAATTCTCACAGCGACCTTCTGAAGTAGACACTGGTACCATCCTAATTTTATATATGAAAAAATCTGAGGCACAGAGACACTGAGCAAGTTGCCTAGGGTCACACAGCTAGTTAACGGGGGAGCGAGGGTTTATGTAGGCAGCTGGACTTCGAAGCTTGAGTAATTAAACTGCGATGATATGTTGCCTCTCAAACAATGTTAAAACATTATTGTGGTTTTAAGGATGACGGATATGGCCAAGAGTGTATCATAAAAGCAAAGACATGTTAATTTATCTATTTAGGCATTCAATGTCAGTCACTATTAAAACTTGATAATTAAAAGAAAGATATTCTCTGATTCTCCTAAAATAAGACTAAATGTTTTCATCAGGTTGACTGTGCAAAGGCCTCAATATCTCAGAAAGCAGGTAACATATACTTTTTCTGTGACATAAATGTGGCTACATAATATGCTAATAAATAGAAATGTAACTAGATACTTAATTCTGAATCTGTCATTTCGACTTGCAAAGCCTCCTGTGGTTTGGACGGCCCGGGTTTCTCGGTGAGACTCCGTGTTCACCGGTACTCGCCTCCGCCTTCTCTTCAGCGGGATCCTGCGCACATGGGGTCGCTAAGCACCGGCCTCTCCGGTGGGGATCTTCAATAACAATGCCCCCTAGCTCACCCCTCTCTCTTTCCTTCCCTCCCCGCCCTCTGTGTCTCTCTCACTGGGTCCCCGTGCGCAGCACAGACCCTGGATCCTCACCGCCTACGGAATGTGGGCCTGCTGGTGTGTGCTGGGGGCCCGGGGAACAGCCATGATTTTTCTCCACACCATCGTTGCCTTCTGCGTAGCCCAGTTCCGGTCGCTGTTCCTATCCTGGCTCTGTTCTCTCCTCCTGCTCTCCACACTGAGGCTGCAAGATGTGGAGGAGATGAAGGTAAGTGTCTCCCTTTACCTTGGGGAAGGAGGTGGTCCCTTTGGCAGTGCCCCCAGCTGGTAGATACCTTTGTTTTCAGGCAAGAATCAGTTGAACAACTGTGGTGGGGCTCCTCCTAGTGGCCACATGGGGTTGGTGCATGTGAACCCTGGTGTTGCATTCTGCAGTCAGGTCTTTTCTAGCTAAGTCCTCCGAGGTTGCACAGGGCTAACCCTGTACTTTTCTCCCAGTTTGGGTAGGCATAGATGGTGGCACATGTCACCGGAGCAGAGGGTCAGGAGTAAAGGGACAAGAAAGCAATAGTCCCCTATGCATTTAACAAAACATCATCTGTCGGGTGCTGTACAATTTATGGGAAACTTTCACATTCCTTGCCTCATCTGGTACCACTGCAGCCCTTGAGACAGATAAGGCAGGTATTTCTTTGCACAGAAAATGTTGGGAATTTTATTACATCCTCTCGCTGTGGAACTGGATCTCCTGCGGTGTCTTAATTTTGTTCACTTGTTCATTCATTTGCTCACTCATTGGTTCAAGTGATGGCACTTAGAATTGGTGTGCTGCGAATCAGCAGTTATGGGAAAGAGCATGGTAGGGCAGTGAGCTAGTGGACAGCCTGTGTGACTCTCTCTGTCTCTGGAATTGTGGGAGGAGCTGTCGAAGCATCCACTGGTTGTGGCTAACATCCCGGTAACCCACTGGAGGTATCTGGTAGATGTGTATCTGGAAAATCTTCCTTGTTGCATCAGGCTTAATGCTAAGCTGATGGTTGATGTCAGAGGCACTCCTCTGCCCACTGCTCATTAACTGCTCATTTTGATTACCAAGGAGATTTTCCTGCTGTCCAGTGGTTCTCAACTCCCTTTATGGTACAGCTACTGCTCTACCCGTGGGAGAAATCTCCTTCCTCAGAGACTGGACGATGTCCCTCCTTGCCGCTCACGGGCTGTTCTCCCCTGTTGGCTTTGCAGAGAGGGTGGTACAAGACAGAAAACGAGTACTACTTGCTGCAGTTCACGCTGACCGTTCGCTGCCTGTACTACACCAGCTTCAGCCTCGAGTTCTGCTGGCAGCAGCTGCCCGCTGGGCGCACCTTCTACTCCTTGCCCTGGATGATGGCCTACGTCTTCTATTACCCGGTCTTCCACAACGGGCCCATCCTCAGCTTCCCGGAGTTCATCGGGCAGGTGGGTCCCTGGGGGTGGGATTGGTGCTTTGACATGTTCCCCCTAAGTGTTTTTATTCGGGGGTGCCCACAAATTTAAAACACATATTATTGTCTTGATTTTTTAAAACATAATAAGTACTTCAGGAGGAACAAAGCCTTCTGTGATAAAAAAAAAAAATAGCCTTCAAAACTAAGGTTGACTTGTTCCAACCCTGATTCTCAGTGGACTGTGGCAGCCAGGAGTAATAAGTGGGCGTAGCGAGGAACTCGTGGGGGAACCCTGCAGGGCAGTCCTGGGGAGAGAAAGAATTGGAATATCGTGGTATTACTTGAAAAGTAGGAAGAGAAACTGTCTAAGCTGTTGGTTGGCAAATAGTATTTATTTTTATTTTTACAAACCTTTATTTTTACAAACTTCTATAGCCTGGGACTTGTTCAGGGCTGCTTAGGTGGGAAGCTGAAGAGAGGCGGAAGGCAACAGTGCTTTCGGGTCTGGGGGCCTGTGCGGCCCAGGGCCCTGCCTGCCTTCCCCCACGAGCAGCCTCGTCGGAAGCTCTTGTCAAGCTGCCTTCATCACTCCCACCTCACTCTTCCTCTTACTCATACATTTTTGTCTCGCTACACAGCTAGCCTCATGGAACACATTTGTGGAATTAATTCACCTGCGGTGTTAGTAATTGAAAATACCCCAAACAGCGTTTCTCAGGGACCTTGCTGCCACCCACACCCAAACAGAACGGTCCTGATGGAGGTGAGGAGAATGATGTGCATGCACACGCAGTGCACACCTGCACCCGCAGTACCTATGTGCACACAGATGTGTGCACACCACACACACCTGTGCAAGCCCCCACACATGTACACACAGGCCCAGAAATGTGGTTTAATGTGCAGGGCCAATGCCGCACCTTTTTGGAGGACAACATGAAACCTGCCCCCTGGAAAAGTCCTAGGGTTCTTAGAAATCCCTTAATTATGTCTTAAAACTTCCACTAACTGATGCTTTATACTCAAAAGTACCTTTCTGCAGTGTAATAGTCATGCCATGTTTTAAAATGTCCAGTTACTTAACTTTTTTCCCTCTGCAGATCTTTAAGTGAAATTGGTGTTCTAGGCAGATTCATGTTAACATGTGGTCTCGCACACCTCGGTTCGGGGTACACAGGATCAGTCATCCTTTTGTCCTGAAGTAATTTTATGTCTGTGTGAAAACTGTGTTTACAATCACTGTGTAGAAGACAGAGGTGGATGGTGATGGCAGCTGGTCTTCTAACCCTGGTTCTCAGAGTGTGGTCCCCAGACCAGTGTCATCAGGGTCACCTGGGAACTCGTGGGAATGCAGGTGCTCAGGCCCACCCTAACCCTGCTGAGTCAGACACTTGGTGGGGGGGGGGAGGGGGGTCAGCTGTGCAGTGTTGGCCCCCAGGCGATGCTGATGCATCTGGAGATTGGGAACCACTGCCCTTGTTACAGAACAGACCCAAGGACAACATATCTGTAACCTGTAGACCCAAGGGGGTATACAATGTAATATTACTGAAAGGATCCCCCACTAGGTTCGCTATGCCCACCGCCAGAGGAAAGATATCTCTCAATGCCAGAGATTTGTGAAAAGGAAAGGAAATATTTATTTAAAGCTATACAGACTTGGAGTAGTGATCTAATGTCTTCATTAAAATACTAAAGTCCTTTAGGATACCCACAGACACACACAGTCCTTCCTTCTCCCTCTGCCCTAATCTGGGGTACCGTATCTCAGGAAAAGAAGTAGATGTCCATGATTCAGTCTCCCGGCACCATCAGCTGTGTCACCACCACGATCTCCAGTTAATTCAAAGCCATGTGGCACCTTCTCATGGCCCACTAGCAAGAGTCCTTTCACCCCTTTTTTTCCAGGAAGAGTTTCTCTTGCTCCTAAGCCACGTGGCAAAAGGGAGCACCATAAAGCCACATGGTTCTCACTCTCGGGGGTCCCTACTCTGCGGGGGTCCCTACTCTGCCAAAGCCTCGTGATTCTCTCTTCTCGCATGGCTGCCGAGTCTGGGTTTAAATCCTCACGCCAAACTTCCTCTGCACCCCATTTCTGACCCCTTCTACAATCAGTTACACTTGCCAAGATTCCTGTATTCTTCCAGGTTTACTGGGCTGCCATTGTGAGTCTGGGCAGGTGTGGCCCCATGTCACAGACCCAATCTTCTCCAAGCTCCCACACAGACTCTGTAACCAGGGGGAGCTGCCTCCCAGTTACATCTGGGGTGGAAGTCACTCCCATCCCCCTGGATCAAAGCATGGCCACACTATTTAACGTATCTATGCATCCAGTTAAAGGTTATAGATATGTTAAATGTCCATGCCAGAGCTTAGCTGCAAAGCTGTTGCAGTACAAAATAGCTCTGCCTGTTCCTGCTCCATGTGTCCCTTCCCCCAACTCACACTGGTGGGGGGAAAAGGGGAGGACATCCTATATATCTTTCTAATATTTCCTAGACACCTTGAGTTCTGGACCCCATTCCAAATCCCTAACTGGGGCCCCCTCTGGGCTGCACCCTGTTACACCCTGAGCTCCTCTGAGGATGAGGGGTGTGTGGTGGGGTTTGGTGGGCACAGTATAGGGTGGGTTCAGGTGCTCCAGGCTGTCTCTTTCACAGTCTCCTCACCATTGTGAGCTTTGAATTCTTCCCAGCATTTCAGCCAGTAACTTTGGACTAAATACCCACATCCCCCCCCCCCCCCCGACACACAACACTCTGAAGACAGTAATTCTCAGAGAAAAATGGACTAAATCCATTAAGAGGAAGCAGGTTATGTTCCTCACTGCCTCTCACCCAGTGAGGAACTTTGCCCCATGGATGTGCACTTTGTTACCATGCAAATGGTCATTCTTCTTTCTGGTTTCCTTCTTGGAAACTGTGCCCTGGAGGGACCAGCAGGGACCCTGGAGGCCCATCGTAGGGTCCCATGTCCCTTCCGGGAGCCAAGCTTTGAGCTCATTGACCACCTAAACCCTCGGCCAACGGCACCGTTCTCTAGAGTTTCAGTCTGGGGGGGAGAAGGGCTGGCGTCCTGCCCCAGACACTCTGGAGTGGAGCCTGGGCGGCGTCTGTGCCTTATCTCCCTCTTTTCTGCCCCTTTGGCATTGGCTGCAGTTTCTGAAAGCAGGGACCTCGGAAACACACATCGAAACCTTTCTCTATGGTCGAGGAAGATCATGGAAAAGTTGGTCTAGAAAAGACAAAATGTTTAGTAAGCTGCAGGGCAAATGAAAGAACAGCCGGGGGTCCCCGCAGTCGCCAAAGGTGCCTCTGGGGCACTGCCACCTCCCATGGGAACCGTGTGGGGAGGAGGGGAGCAGTTGAATGAGGAATGGAATCTAGTGGTGGAAGGACTCTTTCCCAAGGGAGGCCAAGAAGAAGAAGGTGGGACAAGGAGGGAGAAAGCTAACTGGAAGGGCTTGTAAGCCGGGTTTGCTCTGAACAAGTGCTTGAGTGAGTGACTAAGCGACTTCAGACGGAAGGACTTGTAATACCGAAATTCACGGTCCTTAGGCTGAGGGTCAATCAGTGCTTGAACTAGTGGGAGCAGGAGAGTGAGGCTGTGCCACCAGGGGGCAGCAGAGCCTCACGTGGAAACCAACCTAGGGAGGAAAAGCCGGGCCAGCTGGGAACCTGCTGGGAACCTGCAAACTCGGGTTGCTAAGATGACCGTGTAGGCACACCTCTGGGAGAAGGAATCTTTCATCCAGTTTTTTTTAGCATGTAAATTTACACACGCAAGGTGAGGGGAGTGTAGAAGGGGGTCCTCTGTAATGTAAGGCACGTGGAGTTCACACACATCAGTCACGAGCAGGTAAAATTTGCCCGTTGGAAGGCCTTGGAGCCTCCACTTGGGGGTCACCTCTGATGGCATTTGCAGTGTCAAGGACATGGGCTCCGTGTATTTTTCTTCCATGGTTCTGTGGAGTTTAGACACTGAGCTAGGGGTGAGGACGGGGGCCAGGGGGCCAGGAAAGGCCTGACATGCTGTTTATTTGCTAGCGTGGAGCCTGGGCCCCCACATCTTACTCTGAATAGGTCGGATTGTCCAGTGGAGGGCTGGAGGGGTGTGATCCTGAGGTGGGTGGGACCAGGGGCTTGTCCTTGCTGAGGCTGAGCTCCTGCCCCCAGGAGAAGAGCCAGCGCTGAGCCTGGGGACCTGCACTTGGTTGAGAGCAGAGACTCTGGAACCCAGCCCTGCTGTCGGGTTTGACTCCTGCTCTGCTTTGGCTTGAGAGTGTTTGGTGACTTCCTTTATTTGTGACTCAGTTTCCTCAGCCCTCACAGGGTTGTTGTGAGGATGAAATGAGTCCGCAGGGGTAATACAATCTGACACGTAAGCAGTGGAAGTGTTAACCATTACTGTTAATGCTGCCGTCATTAGCTGAACACGTGTGGGGCAATTCTGGGGCAAGTTTAGGCCAGAGCTGAGACCCTGGGTGTCCCGTGTGGTTGGTGGGTGCGGCAGCAGGGGATTCTGGGCAGTGGCCATCCCGGCCTCAGAAGAGGCCAGTGTGCTGGCTCCATCTCTCTGGAAGAGAGACTGGGGGTTGCTGCGGGCCCAGGGGAGGGCCCCACCCCGGGGGGCCAGGGCTGCCCAGGGCTGGGTAGGCAGGCAGCATCCCGGACACACTGTGCAGGGTGTGCGGTGGGCTTGGCTTGCAGCATCTGTCTGGAATAATGTGAGTTGTCATAAATAATACTAACTGAGCACTTGCTCTGAGCCAGGTTTGGGGTGTTCCGACTCATTTCTTACTCACAACAGCCCAGAGAGAGAGATACTGTTGTTAATACCTCTTTACAGAGAGTAATAAGGAGGCAGAGAGAGGCTCATAGAACGCAGACAGGGGTGGAAGGAGTAAAGACGTGAGCCTTGTCACGCCAGCTTGGTGAGCGCCCAGGGTTGTGGACATGCATGCGTGCCTGGGGCTCAAGCTGCCCAGATCACGTCCCAGTCCTGGGGCAGCAACCCCGGCTGCAGGTCCCTCCTGCTGCTCTGGCGGAGACCACTGTACACCACCCACCTGGGTCTGGGTGACAGGGGAGGGCTGGCAAGGGTCTGATTAGGGAGTGGCTGGTTGGGAGTAGAGGTGTGATCTGTGACCCCTGGCTGACCACCCCCCACCCCCAATGTGGACTTTGATGCCCTGGACCCCCCTCTAGGGGTTGGAGCAGAGGAGGCGGAGTTGAACAGCTGGTTCTGGGAAGGTTTTTGTTTGGTGCCTTTAAACACTCGTATTATTACCGCCTGAAGGAAAAGAACTTTTCCACTTTGAAAACTGTCATCTTTACTCATCAGAACATCTCTAAAAGCCTTTGATATTCCTTTTTATGCAATTTGCATGAAAAGAGGTCTTAAAATATAATCTGTTTCAAAATGCACTTTGCAGATGAGTTAATGTGCATGGTTTTTAGTGGCGCCTTAAATTCCCACTGACGACAGTTTCCAGTGGTCTCAAGGTTGGCACTCCCCGAGGCTGGAGATGTCTCGAATGAACTGCTTTGCACACTGACAAGGGAGCAGACCCGCTTGGTGGGTGAGCTGTGCGTGGCGTGTCTTTTCTTCCTGCTGGATCGGCCAGGGACCGGTGCTGGATTTCTGAAATCAGAGGGAGCCCACTAGACTGGAGATATACATAGACTGTAAGAATGACCCGACTCCTGTAAAGATGAAGACCGATAACCACTTCTTAGATAAAAGCAAGTAGAAGGAAAAGTCATATTGGTCCCCTTCTGCTGCGTGTGCTTGTGCAGGAGCAGACACTTCTGTTCCCTGCATGGGGGTGGGGGGCAGCCAGCATCAAGAGAGAGCACTGCAGAGAAAGGTCCCTCCTGGGCCAGCGGTGACACAGTTTTGCTTCCTGAAACCCGTGGGGAAGCTCCGCCCTGAGGAGGGCAGGCGCGTCATTACTGAGAGGCCGACCAGCCCAAGTGCATGTCATGGGTCTTTGTTTTTAAAAATTTTTTTTCAAAAAGATTTTATTTATTTATTTTTAGAGAGAGGGGAAAGGAGGGAGAAAGAGAGGAAGAGAAACATCAATGTGTGGTTGCCTCTTGAGTGCCACCTGCTGGAGACCTGGCCTGTAACCCCGGCATGTGTCTTGACTGGGAATTGAACCGGAGACCCTTTGGTTCATAGGCCAGTGTTCAAGTCACTGAGCCAGACCAGCCAGGGCATGTTTCTTCTTAATCATAGATGTTTATGTCCTTTTGGACTGCATGCTGTTTGGGTAGAGAAAGGAGGGCCTGTGAACTGACCTGGAGCTGTGATGGCCCGGAGCTGGGCAATGACTGGATGGAGGTAATTTCCCTGATTGCCTGGTGAGGCACCTCCCACTGAACTCTTCTGCTCCCTGGGGTGGGCTGCACACCCAGTGACGGCTGCAGCCCCAGACGCGGGTCTGGTCTTCCGGGGACCTGAGCTTGGGGGTGGCTTCTGCTCATGGGGCCCACAGGCCCAGAGCCTGGCTCCGAGAAAGGCCCGACTGTTGGTCTGGGATGGTTTGGGCCTCTTTGTGTCTTAGCCTTGCCGCTGCCTTGGTGGGAACTCTTCCCGCCTGCACCATGGATGCTGTGTTTGTACTCGTCTCCTCATTTGCTGATGGTCATTAGTTCAAAACGAGTTTGCTTTAGAGTGCTAGAAAGGGCTGGTAATTAACAAGGAGGAACTCAGTGCACAGCTTAGAGAAGCTACGAGGGAGGTGGGAAGGTCAGGAGAAGTAAGGATGGGGCCAGCGTGAGAGAGAGGAAGGGGTACCTGCTCCTAGGGGCCTCTGGGCTTCCCCTGGAGACCTGACACTGGGCGTGCTTTAGGAGAAGGGTGGAGAAATAGACCACACCACCTCCTAGAGGATGGGGCCACAGTCCTCACAGTATTGCATCACTTTTTCCCCTGATCACAAAGAGAAGCAACTGTTAAAAACAACCTAAAGACCTTGCCTTCCAAGGGAGACCACCGCTGTTGCCAACTTGGTGTGCATCCATGCAGCCTTTCACTATTTAGACTCACTGAGCAAAAATAGTTTTCACGGCTCTGTAATCTCTGCTCCCTGGGGTGGGTGGGAGTCCTGCCTTTAACCAACCTCCTGCTGGTGGGCTCTCGGGTTGTTCCTGTTCCCTCTCGACCAAGTAACCCAGGCACCGGTGTCGGGCAGGTCGGAGTCTCCGCACCGAGGATCTGGCCGTCCCCCGGCTTGTTGACGTCGACTTGGCGCAGGGTCTGGCAGAACACTGCCCGCTCGGGGTCCGACTCCAGTGGAAACCACCCTTGGTTTGTGCCTGCAAAGGGGTCTGCCTGGGGTCATGCCGGGCAGCTGCGACTGCAGTTAGCTGTGGTCTGGACCAGTCTGCAAATCCCCGATGTGCCCGGCCCTCCTTCCTGGCTGACCCTTCCCAGCTGGCACCTCCCCAGGCGTAACAGACCTGGTGAACCTTCAAAGCAGTCGCTGTTTCCTGGCGATGCAGGTTGGTGTGGCTGTGGAACGCTAAAGGAGAAAGCAAGTTCCTGTTAGTTTGATCAGTTTACATCAAAGTGAAATCGTGGAGCGGCCCCTGGTGTAACTAACCAAGCCGGTGGCAAAAGGGCCGATCATCGTAATGCCACGAGCCAGACAGAATTTCTCGGTCTGGCCTCTTGCTGTGAGAGGGCCGTTGGAGAAAGTGGTGGGATGTGTGTCACAGTGGAACAACGGTGAATCCCCTGGCGAGCAGATCTGCCGTGGACTCTAGGGGGAGTGCGGCCCCTCCTCCTGGCTGCACAGGGACCCCCACCCCTTGAGGTTAGGGGAGAGTGGAGGCTTAAAAAGAACCTAGGGGTCACCTTCCCCAGGCACAGGCCTGGTTGATATGGTGTCTGGAACCCTCACTGTCAAGTGAGGAATCGAGCCCCTTGCCTCTGCCAGCTAACGGTTGCCGGTGCAACCCCATCCTTCGTGCACTTGCTGCCGCTCTGCAGTTCAGGGCGGCCTCGGGTCCGATGGACTGTCGTCGTGTCAGATTCAGGAATCTTCCACAGTCCCTCTCATTCTTCTGTTTGCTTAGCGGTGTAAGGCTGAAGCTGAGTTCACTTCAGGTTTTACAGCATGCTTATGCGTTTCAGAATCTCTGTGTTGTAAATGTTTGTGCATCCCTCAACAGCCAGCAGTGAGACGAGACTGCAGGCTGCCTGGGCAGAACTTGTGATTTTTTTGGTCTGTATTGTCCACAGGCCTTGAGTATATGCTGAGTGGTCTGTCTGTATCTGTGAACGGTCAAAACATCCCTCTGCCACCTCGGTGTCTGGCTCTGAGCCGTCTCCTCATTCTGCCCTGTGTCTGGTAGTCTGGGACGCCACAGGGAGGAAGGTCAAGGTGAAGAGTGTGTAATGCAAGGCACATAGTTATTAGACATTACCTACCAATTACCCAGTGCTTTTTATACACCAGGAGCTGTGCTTAGTGCGTTGTTCCTTATGTTTAGTCATCACAACACTTTGTGTTCACTTTACGTGTGAGGGAACCAGGCCTCAGAGGGTAAGTGACTTGCTCAGGACCACACAGCTGTGTGATTTGTGCTAGAATCTGATCTCGATTTTGTTTGACTCTAAGGTCCGTGTTCTTAACTGTGATGCGTGCCACCTGCTAAGCCAAAGACTTGTGTCACACACTGTCCCTGTTTGTGCTGACTCTGCCTTGTTTCAAAAACAACCGCAGTTAAGGAGGCATAGCCACACCTAATTTTTCCCTTGGTTTCGGGCTCTGTCTCTCCTTCCCCCTCCCTCACCTGCCCTGTGCCCCTTCCTGAGTTGGCACTACTCTCACCAGCCTTAGATGTGCATGGTGACGGGTGAGGACAGGCAGGGGCCCCTGAACCCAAAGAGAACCCAGAGTCCTGGGCGTTTGCAGTGCTGTTTCTGGCCTGCAGGCCCACAGAGCCCGTCTTGGCTCTCGGCACTAGGCTGGCTTGTCAACGCACCATGTTCTTACCCGGGGGCAGAGTTTCAGGCTCAGGTGTGATGTTTTTACCCATGGACATGGGATGTTCCCAAGGCAAACTAGACCAACCCTCTTTTAGTAGGTGCAGCGACTGTGTTTGTGGGCAGTTTATTGAAACCATCCTGCTGGCAATGATTTGAAAGGTCGCAAGGGCGGAGGTGCAGTCTGGTGACTTGCTGTGTTGCCACCGTAGATGCAGCAGCAAGAGCCCTGCTCCCTGAAGATGAGCGTCTCCGTCCTCGCCCGGGGGCTGGGCCGCCTCTTCTGCTGCTGGTGCCTGGCCGAGCTGATGGTTCACCTCATGTACATGCACGCCATCTACGGCAGCGCCCCGCTCCTGAGGACCGTCTCTTGTTGGACCTTAGGTAACTGGAAGTCTCTGTCCACACGACCAGCGTCAAGAATTAGCTTCAGAGTGAAGCTGGCCTCTGGGGTACATGGGGGTGCAGTTGCCTTGAGCAAACCTTTTTCCTTTTTAACCTTGTTCCTCTTGTGGCCGAGATGGCACCTGTGTAAGGTGGCTGGCGGAGGGGAGGGCTGTGGGTTGGGGTCTGGGAGCCAAGGGAACCGGTCAATCCCTTTTCCTCATGGGACCTGACCACGCTCAGCTGGGTCTGCCTCTCCTAGACACGGTAAATGGTGTGTGCACGTGTAGGTCCCTGTCTTGGCCCCTTTCTCTGGCCTACCCATCCCTTCCTACCCGCAAGCAGTTGGGGCAGAAGTCACTTCCTCAGCAGGGTGCTGTCTCCAGTGCGGAGAAACCACTGTTCTTTCTCCCTCTGGCCCAGCAAGCAGTGGCCATGCCCACGCTGAACTAAATCTCCTCATTTTCTTGTTTGTTCCCCTTTCGAGAACTCCCCGTGGTCATGAATCCAGCCTGTGGTCTGACCTCAGCTTGTGCCCTGATGGGAAAGGTGTGGTCTTCCGGCCAGTTTGGGCTGCTCCCTGCGAGGGGAGGGCGAGAGTCCACTCGGGCTCCGTATCTGGGACTCCTTGTCCATTTGGTGGTTTATGGATCACAGAAACCAAACCCAACCCTGATTGTCCTTGGTGTCACACAAGCTTCATCAGTGTTTCTAAGGAAGTTGCTTTTTTACATTAGAAAAACGCTGAGCTGTTGTCGGTGCCAGTCTCTTCTTGCTGAACACATATTCTTTATAGTTGGAATAATTAATATTCTAAAGATTTAGTGATGCGATTGGACAAAACAGAATAGACCATATGGTGGCTTATACTAAATCGACCCCCAGTTGCACTGCATTCAAGTTAAGAGGCTGTATCAGTTGGGGCGGTTTTAACTCCGAGTGATGGGAAACACAACTCAGAATGAGGCCTAAGCAGTAAGGAGAAGCTGTTCTCTCATCCAAGTATTCCTTGTAGGGTCAGCACAAGGGGCGCTCTGTCCCGTGACTCGGGAGAGTCATCCAAGATTCTTCTGTGCGTCTACCCTCAGATTAAGAATGAACCAGAATCCTAGAAGCCCCCTGTTTGCACCCGAAATCCCATCACCTTTTCTCCCCCTGTCCTCAGAGATACATTCAGGATGCACTTTTATAAAACCGTTTTTTTAAAAAAAGACTTTATTTTTAGAGCAGTTTTATGTTTACAACAGTATCTAGAGGAAGGTACAGAGATTTCCCATACATCCCTCCTGGTAAATAATGCTGCAATAAAGACACCTTTTTGAATTAGTGCTTTTGTTTTCTTTGGATAAATACCTGGAAATGGAATTGCTGGATCATATGGGTACTTTATTTTTAATTTTTTGAGGTATCTCCATGCTATTTTCTACGGTGGTCATACCAGTCTGCATTCTCACCAACAGTGCATGAGGGTTTCCTTTTCTCTACATCTTCTCCAGAACTTACTTAAGATTTATTGGTGACAGCCATTCTGACAGGGATGAGGTGATAGCTCATTGTGGTTTTAATGTGCAGTTCTGTGACGATTAGTGATGCTGAGCATCTTTTCGTATGTCTGTTGGCCATCTGTATGTCCTGTTTGGAGGAGTGTCTATTCAGGTCCTCCGCCCAATTTTTACATGGGTTTTTTTGGTATTAAATTGTATGAGCTCTTTGTATATCCTGGATATTAACCCCATATTGTATGTGTCATTGACAAATATCTTCTCCCATTCAATAAATTGTTTTTTAATGTTGTTGATGGTTTCTTCACTATGCGAAACCTTTTTAGTTTGATGTGGTTGCATTTGTTTATTTATTTTTTGTTTCCCTTGCTCAAAGAGATATAGCCAAACAGATATTGCTAAGAGCAATGTCAAGAGTTTACTGTTTTTTAAAATTATATTTTATTGGTTATGCTATTACTGTTGTTCCGGTTTTTCCCTCTTGGCCCCCTCCGCCCGGCTTCCCTCCACTCCCTCAGGCTGTCCTCACCCGTTGTTCGTGTCCATGGGTCCGGCACATGAGTGCTTCGGCTGCTCCATTTCCTGCTGTGCTTTGCATCCCATGGCCATTCCGTAACTGCCCGTGTGCACATCTCAGTCCCTCCGCCCCTCTCACCCATCGCCCGCACTGACCTCCCTCCCATCTGTCCCCATCGAAACATTCTCTGTATCTGTGATTCTGTTTCTGTTCTGCTTGTTTATTTTGTTTTTTTTTTAGATTCAGTTGTTGATAGATATATATTTGTTGCCATTTTATTGTTTATATCTTTGACATTCTTCTTAAAGAAGACCCTTTAACATTCCATATAGTAATGGTTTGATGGAGATGAACTCCTTTAGCTTTTTCTTGTCTGGGAAGCTCTTTATTTGTCCTTTGATTCTAAATGATAGCTTTGCTGGATAGAGTAATCTTGGCTGTAGGTCCCTGCTTTTCATCACTTTGAATATTTCTTGTTAGCCCCTTCTAGCCTGCAAAGTTTCTTTTGAGAAATAAGCTGACAGTCTTATGGGAGCTCCCTTGTAGGTAACTAACTGCTTTTCTCTTGCTGCTTTTAAGGTTCTCTCTTTGTCTTTAGCCTTAGGCATTTTAATTATGATGTGTCTTGGTGTGGGCCTCTTTGGGTTCATTTTGTTTGGGACCCTTTGTGTTTCCTGGACTTGTATGTCTATTTTCTTCACCAAGTTATGGAGTTTTCTGTCATTTTTTTCAAATAGTTTTCCAATTTCTTACTCTCTCTCTTCTCCTTCTGGCACCTCCACGATGCAGTTGTTGGTATGCTTGAAGTTGTCCCACAGGCCGCTTATACTCTCCTAATTTCTTTTGCATTCTATTTTCTTCTTGCTGTTTTGATTAGTTATTTTTTGCTTCCTTGTATTTCAAATTGCTGATTTGATTCTCAGCTTCATTTATTCTACTGTTGATTCCCTGTAAATTGTTCTTTATTTTAATTAGTGTATCCTTCATTTCTGATTGGATCTTTTTTATGTTGTTGAGACCCTCACTAAGTTCCTTGAGCATCCTTATAACCAGTGTTTTGAACTCTGCATCTAGTAGCTTGCTTGTCTGCATTTTGCTTAGTTTTTTATCTGGAATTTTGTTCTATTCATTCATTTGGGCCATGTTTCTTTGTCTCCTCATTTTGGCAGCCTTCCTGTGTTTGTTTCTGTGTACTGATATTTGAGAGAACTTCTATGTCCCCCAGGCTTGGTAGTGTAGCCTAATGTAGTAGGTGTCCTGTAGGGTCCAGTGGCACAGCCTCTGCTATTGTCCAAGTTGGGTACTCAAGGTATGTCCATTATATATGCTGTGTACACCCTCTTGTAGTTGAGCCTTGATTGTTGTTGGCACATCCAAGGTCAGACACCACCTGTGTTCTGTTTGGGGTCACACAGCATAAGCTGTGAAGTGATTTGCTGATGGCTGCTACTTGTGCTGGTCTTGGAGGTGCCCAGACAAGGCCCAGCTATGAACCAAGGCTGGTGGCTGCTTGTGCTGGGCCTGGAGCAACTTAGTGAGAGGTATGGAACTCATGGAAGCCAGATGCTGCTTGTTTCGGAGAATTTAGAAAAATCTGAAGCATGAGCCAAAACAAGCCATTCATATGGAAAAGCCAGTGGAGACAGCTTGCATGGGCCTGAAAGTTGGGTGGGGCAGGGCTTCGGGGAATCACCAGGGTGGGGCAAAAAGTGCAAACCAGGTTGATGGAGCCTCAGGTATGGCAGTGGCTGCCAGCTCTGTGGCTCTGTGGGGGGAAGGCTCAGAAAAGGTGCAGTGGCCTCTGCCAGCACTTCTGCCTCGGTGAAAGCTGCCCCACAGCTCTCACCCTGATGCTGGACAATTCAGTTCCTCTCCATGTCTCTGGTGCCCCTGCTCTGGAGTTCAGAGAGAGTGAGTCTGAGTAAGTCTGTACCTGGGGCCTTTAAGAGGAACTTCCAGGGAGTCCAGTAGTTTCTGTCTTCCACAGCCTCAATCTTCCTGGCACTGGAACCCTGGGCTGGGGGGCCTGGTGTGGGGCTGGCACCCTTTGCATCTGAGGTATTCCTCCTAATTTGTATCATCTACTCATAGTTGTGGGACCAGCCCCTTCTGCATCTCTACCCCTCCTACCAGCCTCGATGTAGTTTATTCTTTAATTCCGTAGTTGTAGGACTTCCATTCAGCTTGATTTCTGATGGATCTGAATGATGGTTTTCTATAGTTTAGTTATAATTTTGATGTGGTTGTATGAGGAGGCAAGCTGTGTTTACCTACACCGCCATCTTGACCGGAGGTCTGCCTGTGTTTCATAGGAGTTTTATAGTTTTTGGTCTTTCATCCATTTTGGGATGCATTCATCTTAAATGCATTCCACTTAGCCATGGTGTATAATCCATTCAATGTGTGGTTGAATCCAGTTTTTTTGGTATATTGTAAGAAAGTCATCCAGTTTCATTTTTTGCATGTATTTGTCCAGTTTTGCCAATACTACTTATTGAAGAGACTGTCTTTACCCCATTGTATATACTTGCTACCTTTGTTGTAAATTAATTGACCATATAAGCAGGGATTTATTTCTGGGCTCTGTATTTTATTTTGTTGTGTTTATTTTCATGTTGGCACCATACTGTTTTGATTATTGTAGCTTTGTAGTATAGTTTGATATCAGGGCGTGTGATACCTCCCATTTTGTTCTCTATAAAGACTTCTTTGTCTATTTGATGTCTTTTGTGGTTCTATATAAATTTTAGGATTAGTTGTTGTAATTGAGAAGAATGTCATTGGTATTTTAATAGGATTACATTGAATCTGTATATTACTGTAGGTAGTAAGCATATTTTAACAATATTAATCCTTTCAATCCATGAGCAAAGTATATCCTTCCATTTATTTGTATCCTGTTCAATTCTTTCTTTAATGACTTACAGTATTAACAGTACTCACCCTGGCTAGTGTAGCTCAGTGGATTGAATCCAATCCAC